TATTCGCAAATTGTCACAGTAACCTTAATATTATCGTGCACGTTTTTTTTAAAAACTATTCATCACTGGACAGCGGACAAGCATGAAGTATGTGCTGTTTGAACTGTTGGGCAGTCGTTAGCCTGCTCTGCTGCCAGGAGAACAGGTAGACACAGACACGGAGTCCCAGGACACATACTGAATAAAAAAACAACGTCGTAGTGGGGGGTGTTGTGAACAGGTACAGTACCCATTGTAGGCGGAGCCAGCAGGAGACAGGATAGCACGCGCAAGCAGTCGCGACTGCACACTGCGAGTCCGACAGCTGCCTTTCCACCAAACTGACTCGATCTCTCCCCCAACTATGGCGCAGTTGCCCTCCATCGCTATACTCGATCCTGATTCGAAAACTCTGCTCAACAGACTTAATATTCGACTAAATGAGATTGATTTGAAGCTCAGTATCGTACTTGAATTACTCGCTACGCGCTTACCAGATCAGAGGTGAGCAAAACCCAAACTCCTCATATCCTCTTCCTGCTATCCACTTTGGAAACTTCAAATTATTTATGTGCTCTTCTTGATTTTAGCAAAATCCGTAAAACCCATATAATCTACCCTCATCGCTCTTCTTGAAGCTCATGTTCATTCCAGACTTACTAGTATATTGGCCTCTCCACCTCAAACTCTCATATCAGAAGCTTCTCCACAAAGTTTTACAGCAATGGCGGGAAACTCGACTTCAGATAAGACAACCTCACCAAAGGTGCAATTTTTAAATATTAAAAAATGAAACCTTTCAAAATTTATTGGGCAATTAAGATGGAATGCAAAGATGATTCTGATGGAGACCTAGATATGGAAGGGGATAATGAAAATGATGCAGAAGAGGATTTTTGCGAACAAGATCAAGCATCTAATGCCACATCGAAAGAGGTTTAGTACTGGACATAATATGCATTATTCTGGAGCTTTTTCATATGAAAGATGTAAAGTTCTGGTTTTAGCAGGATGCCAAAACTTCTTTTTCCGATGGTCCATTCCCGGAAGGGGCTGTGAAAAGAGCGGCAGAAAAAGCTGCCAGAAGCTTTCAGAGCACACAACCCAAGGTAAAGCCACTTTCATTTTCTTGCAATTTTACAAA